AGCGTTGCCATATTGTTTTTGAATTGGTTTATTCTACAATGACGCAGGCTTTGATCATTTGTCGAATCTCTTCGTCATTTCCAACGTTAAGTTAATATGGTTTTAGCCAATCCTGTTACATTTATTTATTTCCATCCAATATATATATTGATCTACAGTATTATTGGCAATGACACAATGACTGATCAAGAAATTTGTAAGGGAACAAGTGATCTAATAGACCTCTCGTTCACTTGTTGAGTAGAATATTGTCATTTACTAGTACGTTGTAAATGCGGAATAGCGTTGCCATATTGTTTTTGAATTGGTTTATTCTACAATGACGCAGGCTTTGATCATTTGTCGAATTTCTTCGTCATTTACAACGTTAAGTTAATACGATTTTAGCCAATCCTGTTACATTTATTTATTTCCATCCAATATATATATTGATCTACAGTACTACAGTATTATTGGCAATGACACAATGACTGATCAAGAAATTTGTAAGGGAACAAGTGATCTAATAGACCTCTCGTTCACTTGTTGAGTAGAATATTGTCATTTACTAGTACGTTGTAAAAGCAGAATAGCGTTGCCATATTGTTTTTGAATTGGTTTATTCTACAATGACGCAGTCTTTGATCATTTGTCGAATCTCTTCGTCATTTACAACCTTAATATGGTTTTAGCCAATTTCTGTCACATTTACTTATTTTAATCCTCTATATGTATTGATGTACAGAATTATTGGCAATGGCTGATAAAGAAATTTGTAAGTGAACAAGAGATCTACTAGACCTCTTGTTCACTTACATGTTTCTAGACCTCTTGTTAAAATGCAATCTTACTTCTGTGGGTCACAACAATACAGTATAGTAGCGGCACAGTGGAGGCCATCCACTCGATGCGAGAGCGATACGCTGCTGCTTCTTCGTATATGGTAGCAATGGCTCGAAAGTGAGTACTTCCATGTACCACATACCTGTGCCTAAGCTCTCGTAGGTCTGTATGGCGAGACAGCTTCTAGGGACTCTGGTTGACATTCTATTTAAATACTACTACTGTAGTAGTATTTTTTGTTGAAAAAACTGAACAAACTTCATCATCGAGACGGGAAATATAAAATGGAGCCGAATATTATCATATCCAATCATTAACGGCCAACAGATTCTATTGGCTAAAAGTCAGGCAATTTCACAATTTGATGCTGTATCAACAATTCATTCATTCCCTTTACTACGTACGAAGTACTAGTACTTATTTGTGCAAGCATTGTGCATTTTGATTGGCTGTTCAAGTTATCTCAAAATTCCCCGACAACAGGTATATTTTGGGTTTCCAGCAGGGGGGATATACACCTGTTGTGTGGGAATGAGTCCAGTCGTTGTGACAGCATTTCGTGAAATCGTGCCCAAGGTTTACCAGTATATTTGAACTTTACTGTTATTTATAACAGTTGTTTATGTTAATGTTAAAAACTACTCCTAGTACAGTTTTCTACAGTACGTAGTGGTTTGCAGATTGTGTGTGAGTCACAGGCTGCATGCATATCCCACGAGGTGGCGATGGTAACTTACACGACAGTTCACCGGTAATTGACTGCACCCTGCTGACCGCTGACCGGCACCTCCACTATATATATATATATATATACATTGGAAGAAGTTCATTTAGCTTGGTACATGAAGACGGTTCTAGAATGCTAACATTAGTTCTTTCAAAAGTCGACGTGCTGGTTGTGTCCTGTCTGTAGCCATTCACTTGTCAAGAGGCAGCGCGTAATTCAGCTTGGATTCATCGAATCGCCTGCTGTCTGTCCACGTCGTCTCCGCTGACACTTCCATGGGTGGGAATGATTACTTGGATTCACATGTCCGTTAAGCTTACACTTAAAGTAAGCATCGTCCAAAGCAAGTCAGACGTGAAAACCATCCGGACACTGCGAGACCCAGTTCGCAACAATGTTGGAGCGCTGGATGTCACGGGGTCGAGGTGGCTAAAGTACGATCTCAGTCGTACTTAAACGAATTTGCCTCGGCGTTTGTATGGTGGCCATTTCCAGAGTAGCAATGCCGGCTGGATATTCCTGGACAGGTTCTGCGACGTCAATGACAACACACCATAGGTGCCATAAGCGAATTTCACGTGCACGTGCCAAATGCTGACTGTGCTCGACCACCACCACCACAGCAATAGTAGCAGCAGCAGCTGCAGCTCCATCTCGTACCCCACGAAGAATCCGCCGAGCACCATGGCATCGTCGCTCAAGCGTCGGCGCACTGGGGACACGAAGAGCTTGGAAGCGTTGTCCCTGACGCTGAAAATGAAGTGCCTGATCGTCGAAGCCCACATGACCAACATGAATATGGACGTGCTGGAGCGCAACTTGGAATCGATTGCCAACGAATTGGCGCTCTTATATGTCTTTGGCATCCAGAACGAATCGTCTTGCGTCCGGTTCATGCACTCGGCCTACGATCGCGTGAACAAGTTGATGGCGATGAAGAACGTGGACAGCGAACGTCGCACCCTTTCTTCCTCCCCCGATGCGCTGTGGACGGCATCCAAGTCCCAGGCGCTGTCGGTCCACGACGCCGATGTGAACATGACCGCATGCTACGAAATTACCCTCGACGACATTGCCATGTTCTGGAAGCAAATACAGTTGGCCAAGGCCAAGGCGACTACGTTATGGAACGCCGAGAACCTCCACGACGCGATGCCGTACATGCGCGCAGCCGACACGTACTTCAAGCGCCTGCACCTCAAGTGCCAAAAGCTCAACCTGGACTACGCCATGATCGGAGCTCGGTGCATCGTCCCCATGGCCAAGAAAGCCAAGCGCGTGTCGTTCGCGGACAAAGTCGAGTTCGTCGGCACCGCCCAAGCCGACTTCGATCGGTCGCCCATCTCCCCCACCAAACCTACGCCGTTGGAAGCGTTGTTATTGCGTGCGTCGCGCGAGTTCCCCATGCCTTCGTTTTAGAGCTATACGTTAACCTTATTTATTCATGTATCGGCTTAGTCCTTGCTTCCTCTGGGAATGCACCGTGTGTGTATTGTGATGGCATCATCCCCGCTAGCTTGGTACAACGTCGATCGAGTTGACGCAAAGTGGGTTCACTTTGTGGATGCTTGATACACAGTGTAAGGTAATGCATCAATTGTTGACACTGTTTTTGGTCAAGTTTTGGCCATGACTTCAAATCCCAGTAGCTCGAGAACTATAACGATTATTTTAATGCTGATAGCACCACAAGAGAATATAAAACGCCACCATTTTTTTTATGTATCATTAAGCATGATTAGACTACATTTCAGATTTGTATCGAAATTAAATGTTTTGAGCTTTATAGCTTTATTAGTCCTACATAGTTCAACTGCGCGGGTTTTACCGCAAGTCACTGTACCTTATTCATAGCTACTACTACGTAGTACTAGCTATTAATAGTACTTTGTAGTATTAATAGTACAAGAATGTATGCCCCCCGCTTCGCGGGGGGGTGCGATTGGTTCTTATTCTTGAATGATTCCATAGCATCCAATGAGAGAATTTAAAATACATTTCGTTTCATCCAATCTCATGAGTTGAAATTGTTTAGAAATGTTTGATTGGTAGGAATTGTCATGTTTGATATTGGAACTTTTAGTGGGAATCGAAAATGGTGCAACTCAAATTGGATGGGCAGTGTTTGGTGGGAATTGTCATGCTTGATATTGGACGTTTTGGTGGGAATCGAATATGTTGCAACTAAAATTAGATGGAGAAGTGTTATCAGTCGCATCAAATATGCTTACTTGATTGACGCTGATGTTTCGCCTTCTTGTTGATGCATGATGCCACAGGTGCACATATTTCAACATCATGCGCATCGTCGATTCATGAACGCATGATGTTGAAATGTGTGTAACTATCGCTTGTCGTAGAGAGCTTGGTTGTAGTTTGAGCTTATGTCATCGTGTTAATCAAAGTGGAGCAATGGTGTCATACCTTGTTGTGGGTCATGGGGTGTGCTGTCTTCGGTCGAATGCTATGGGCGTAGGGGCGCTGTGTGCTGTCGTGATTCACGTTTGTATTGTGGTGCAGAGCTTCTGCAAACGTGTTTCGCGGTCTTAACCGTCCATGTTATGGTCATAACCAACCCGCATGCAGTATGGTGTATTGTCGAACTTGACATTGTGATTGTCGCTCGTGTTGAAGCGATAGACAAACAGGTGTTGTCACATTGGAGTGGGACTTGCCAAGTTTGTCTCTATTGTCATACCTTCAATGTTTTGTCCAACATTGATGTTCTTTAGTCCGTGGATTGGGTTGTGGAATCGCCATCCAAGTACTCCGTTGATGTAAGGGTCAGTTCTTGTGGTGTGGCGTCGGTTGCTAATATCGCAGCGGGGGTGGATGGAAACACACTATGCAAGTAAGGATAGTCGGTGGAATCGACATCTGTGTACACCCCGCATATCCGCGCTGCTTCCAGCGAGGCCGTGTCAGACACTGGGATGGGTGAACATTCAATACGATAACATAGATGTTTCATACATTCAATGCTGTGTTAAAAACGTCTCAAACTCAATACTGCGATTTCTTTTTTTTCTTTGCAATATCCGCATCGGGTGGTTGCTTTGCCTTGCGCCGACCCGACGCTTGCTCTTCGATCTTGATGGCGTTCGCGTTGTGGGCTGCACTATGAGCATCACTGGCAGTAGCAGTGCCATCTTCGTCATCAATGCTGGCCATGGCTTCACGACTCTCGACCGAACCCAAACTGATGCAACTCCCAGAGCCACCCGATTGCGGCACAGTTCGTTCGTCGAGTGAACCTTGAGATTCGCTAGGCTCCGTGGGCACAGTATCGTTGTCCGTTAAATTGTAATCGGACGAACGCTGATCTTCTCGGTGGGTTGATATTGGTGGAGTCGTCGTAGGTGGTCTTGGTGGAAGTGGGGGGGTCGGCGGCAGTCTTGGGCGCGGTGGGGTCGTGCCAGTGGCATCCAGTGATTCAAAGATGCAACTCGCAACGCCATGAAATGTTGTGAGTTTTCTCACAGTGACCAACACGACCTCGCCCACAATCAATCGTGGAATCACATCGCTCGGAGCTGGGTTCGCGCGGAACTGGATGTCGAAAATCATCATTCTGACGATGAACGCTTCGCGCTCCGTTTGGCTGAGCAGGCGTAGTCTTGTAGTAGTACATATAGTAATACGTACTTATATTTCATGGGAAATACCACCAACTGCAGTTATCCGAGTTTCGAACTATGTACTACTTCGACCTCGGTGCTACAGTAATGTACGGAGCTGTTCGCAAGTCACGTGAAACTGTGGTTCTCATGTCATCTCTATTTCCCACACAAAGTTATTATTCTGTATGATAAAAGCTGCGACCAGGTATTAATAGTGATCCCATGATCAATAATATGCCAATCCGCATGGTCTGGGTGAGGTAGAACACATAGAGGCATTACGATCAAGTTATGTGAACGTTATCGCAATTGTCGCACAAGGTCACAACACATCAACGTTGGAATAGAATAGATGATATGAATATGTATGGTAGTGTGTTAGTCGCCCAACTTGGCGAGTGCGTCGAGCATTCCCACGACGTGTTCGTACTCGGCACAGAGTTGCTCGACTTGAGCCGGCGATACGTTGTTGGTGGTGTTGGCAAACACGTCGTCGATGGCTTTTCGCTGCTTCGCATCGAGCGTCGTGGCAAAGAAGTGCTCGACCATGAGTTGGGTCTGCCGTGACGAAATGTGGCCCAGCATGAGCTTCTTGTTGACGCGACCAGGGCGAACGAGGGCGGGGTCGAGTTTCTCGGGGTGGTTGGTGGTCATGATGAGGATGCGCCCGGGACTGTCCACGACCCCGTCCAGCACATTCAGTAGCCCCGACAGGTTGAGTTTGTCCTTGGAGTCCCACTTGGATGGGTTAATCATGGGTCCGATCGCCTTGTCGTTGTTATGTCCTTCCAGTTTACTCATCGTAACCAAGTCCAAGTCGTCCATTTCGGGGCTCGGGATTTGTGGTGCACCAGCGTCGGACGACCGCGCGAGCACAATGTTGGACGCGCAGTCGACGTCCTCCATGACAAACACAATGCTATCAAAGCCGAGTTTGATGGGCAGGTCCTCTCCCGCAAGCCCAAACTTGAGGTCGAACATCATGTCCATCAGTTCCTGGTTGGTCTTGATCTTACTCAGTGAAATGTTGACGATATGGCGCTTGGTGTGCTGGGCGATGGCTTTGATGAGGCTGGTTTTGCCCGTGCCCGGGGGGCCGTGCAGCAACAGACCCAACTTGTACGGAAACCCGGGGATGCCAAACTTGCCGCTCTTGTGGAGAAAGTTGCCCAGCAACGCCAGCAACGGCGCCTTGTCTTCAAAGAACAAGCTGTCAAATGTCTTGTCTTCGCCCAATGCATACCGCTTGTACTTTTGCACGGCCGCGGTGCTCTCTGCAGAAGCATCTCCAGAACTCGCCGCCATGTACATGTATCGAGATTTGTCCTTTTGGTGCTTTGCCATCACCGCGGCCTGGTAGCTCTTGTACGCTCGTTGGACAAAGTCGTCGATGCGAGTCGTGCCATTAGCCAGTGACGACCGCAAGAGGAATGTGACTGTGGACTCGGTGACGCCATTGCCCCCGCCTTCGCTGTTGTCATGGTTGTCTTCTTGCCCAGATTTGATTTCATGCATGAACTCGACCCCTTCCTCAAGCTTGACCCATGCATTCAACGGGGGCAACGCGCCAATGCCGAGTGTTTGCAGCTGGTCGCGTTCGCTGCAGTAGCCGTACGAGTGGCGCTGGCTGGCCTCGTCGACCGTCGCGGCATCAGGGGTGGGCTTGACGTTCTCGAGCAATTCGTACCGCCCAGACTGGCTTGTCATGTCCAAGTGCTCGCTGAGGTGGATGGAGATGGCTTTTTGCAAGATGTGGTTGTGTTGGTCGTGGTCCCGGACTTTGCCCCACGAGTTGAAGTGCTGCTTGATTTCAATGCGGCGAATGACTTCGTGGGTAGGTTTGGTGTGGAGGGAGCGCAAGTACGCCCAGACCCACCCAAACTGGGCGGTCGAGTCGTACATAAACTTGAAAAACACTGGAATCAAGAGGCAGATGAGCGTGTCCACGACTACGTTGTTGGTGCGCATGGAGTTGATCATGCCGAATTGGATCGCTTGAGAATCCATGATGGACGGAATGACGAGGGATGATTGGAAAATGGCAGTTTGGGGACTTTTGGTTATGTTGTTGGGACCATCATTGTATACGTTTGTACAGGAATTTGTTTTAAATACTGGTGCCATATGATTATGATTTGTTCGCCTCAATGATCTCTACATTCGAGTTGGGTTTGACGAGGCTTGGGTGCTGCTGTTGTCGACAAATAATGATCAATCTACTAACCATTAGTGTAGTCGTAGAAGACTGTCCATACTTGTTTTCGTGTTGATAGAGTTGTTGTACTACGTAGTACTTCGAAGTACTTCGAAGTAGTACATATCACTTGTTCGATGGAAAAACAGAAATGGCGTTTTTATTATTATTACCGAATGATGGTCTGAGAGGTTGAAGTAGACAATTGGTTGGTGTGAACTAACGATCTATGGAACATCCCACAGTTTCAGTGATGGTCTCTCCAACCCAACTTTGGTGGCAATTCACAACTCATATTCAATTGAGACTCCTAAACCAACATCATGGACACCCAAGCCATCCAATTTGGCATGATGAGCTCGCTTCGGACCAACAACGTTGTCATCGACACCCTCGTGTGCATGCTGATTCCAGTCGTGTTTACGGCGCTGGTGAATTCGTCCGTCCATTTGACTGCCCTTGTCCACGCCCTTCAGCGGCATTTTGGTCCCCCCGTAACTCCGGACGTCGTGCGCAAGATTGAAACCAAGCAAGCGTTCAACTCGTGGGGCAAAGTGCACGACAATGACCAGCACAACCACATTCTCCAAAAAGCCATCTCGATCTACCTCAGCCAGCACTTGGACATGCAAGCCAAGTCGGGGCGCTACGAACTTCTCGAGTCTGCCCAAGTTGACGACACGGAGGACGACACAGACGACTGCTCGTCCGACGACAGCTACGACTGCTACTGGAACGTACCGAACGAAAACGACCAGCTGAAAAAGCTGCAAGTGGGCGCGTTGCCCCCATTGAACGAATGGATCCAGGTTGACGACGCGCTGCTCTTCAAGCACGAGGAATCGGCTGCTGACCAAGGCAACGCCAAGCTCAAAGCACAGGTGCAGCAGTCCACTGTGACCTTTTACCTGTCGTCCAAGGCCTCGGACGCGTCGGAACGCATCGATGCGTTTGTGGAGCGGGCGTATGCAAACTATCAAGCGCTCGTCTTGGCCAAACACAAGCAAGACAAGGCGCGGTACTTGTACATGGCGACCTCGACCGAGGTCACCGACGACGCCGCCCCCCTTTGCAAGCGCTATGCGTTGGGCGAAGACAAGACGTTCAATAGCTTGTTCTTTGAGGAAAAGGACGCGTTGCTGACGTTGCTCAACAACTTTGACCTGAAACGAGGCAAGTTTGGCATTCCCGGGTTTCCGTACAAGTTGGGTCTGTTGCTGCACGGCCCCCCGGGCACGGGCAAAACCAGCCTCATCAAAGCCATCGCCCAGCACACCAAGCGCCACATCGTCAACATTTCACTGAGTAAGATCAAGACCAACCAGGAACTGATGGACATGATGTGCGACCTCAAGTTTGCCGTCCAAGGCGAAGATTTGCCGGTGAAGCTCGGGTACGAACAGGTCGTGTTTGTGATGGAGGACATCGATTGTGCGTCCAACGTGGTGCACGCTCGAACTACCAGTCACGACAACAAAACTACAGACACAGCAACCAACGACATCCAAGCGCTGGATGACGCGGCGCTCACCAAAGCACTGGCAGACATGATCAAGAGCAGCCCCTCGAACAGTTCAAAGTTCGAAGCCAAGGACAAACTCAACCTGTCGGGGCTACTGAATGTGCTGGACGGGGTCGTGGACAGTCCCGGGCGCATCCTCATCATGACCACCAACCACCCCGAGAAACTCGACCCCGCCCTCGTCCGCCCTGGTCGCGTCAACAAGAAGCTGCTTTTGGGCCACATGACGCCTCGGCAAGCCCAGTTGATGATGGAGCATTATTTCTCGACCACGCTGGATGCCAAACAACGGATGGCCGTCGACGAAGTGTTTGCGACAAAAGCCACGACCGTGTCCCCCGCCCAGGTGGAACAACTTTGTGCCGAATACGACGAGGTCTCCGACATGCTAGTAGGCTTGATGGACCTCTAGTTTTCCTTATCATTCAAATATATTTATTTATACATATATG